ATGAGAAGGACTAATGGTGCATCAAGGCCACAGAGTTCATTAAACTAGCATGGTCTGTTACAAACTTTCATCAATAAACATATAATGGTTCAAACTAAAGTGTATTATAAGAAGTCATATATTCTAAAAAGAATTGCATCCCAACAAGGTTGCCATCACAATTTCGAATTAGACTTTATTCTGTTTTATAAAGAGACAGATAAGACCATACAGTATGACTCTAATTTCTGATAAACATGACAAGCTTATAAATTGCTGACTTTAAAGGTTAGCACTGCTGCATATGAAACCCTTGATAACTAGAAGAATAAAGAACTGTCACTAAAAATGCTTGTTAGAAGAATGTATTTCCTTTAGCTTATTGATATGGTCCCTTCTGCTTCTTTTGTTGTTTTTTTTGGGGGTTGTTTTTTTTTTTTTTTTTTTTTTTTTTTAAAAAGACATCACACATGCATTTCACTGTACTATCCTATTACTCTGACAATAAATTAGGAATTTAAAGTTATTAGACATAAGTCTTTGCAGATTGGAATATACAGAAACTGAAAGCTAGTAAAAAACCTAGATTGTAATTAAGAAGTATGGAAGTCTTAAATGAAGGGAGACATGGATATTTGTGCTGCCACTTAAATTAGCAGATTAATTAAAAAAAAAATAATAAAAAAAAATAAAATAAAATTAAATTAAATTAAAATACAACAAAAGTACACCATAAAACACTGGCAGAGCAATTTCATACCTCAGATTAAACCACATTAAATCTGATGTGCCTATGTCTAAAAAAAAAGAAACTAATGAAACTTTGAATTTTTGCTCTTATTTTTAACTTCTTGCCTCTAATGTTTTAATTTAAAATGTTGCTGTCTAAGTACCATTTATAAAAAATACAGGAAACGCAAACATATAAATGTCCAACTTTCAATGTTCACTAACTTTTTATGAAGTTTACCTTCCTCTCTTCCCCCGCCAACCTTATAACTTCCTATTTGGCAAGTGTTTTTTTTAAAGATTTTTCAAATATTCTCTGGTTTTCCTTCACTGCTTTTATATTAATTTCCTCACTGCCTCCCCTCCTCCATGCATGCATTTTCTTTTCCTCACTTAGATTTTGCATTTCAAAAGAACAATTTCATATTTGACACTGAAGGTGTCTCAGTAAATGTCTCAGTAAATACCAGGGATATTATACCTCTGCTCATGGAAAGGGATATATAACTGTGCAGTTAATGAATTTTATCTCCAGTAGAAGCTTTCTCTATGCTCAGCAATGACTGCATTTTGAAAAAAAGTTTGTCACATTTGAAATAATTCTAAACATACCTGTGTCAATTATGCAAATAAAAATTTGTATTTATCGCTGTCACAGATTTCATGGTTGAGGGAAACTAGTTATTTCATATGACATAAAACATGTGTTGGAAATGACATATCTACTGAAGTCAACAAGATTCTTAAATTCATTGGTCTGCTCTTTTCTTCTTTGACATAAAGAAATTTCCAAGCTTAAATGTCTTCCTCTCATGTTATGTGAAAAACAAAGCAAGAAGATTTTTTAGAGAGATATATATTTATTTATTTATCTTTGATGAACAACAGTGCAATTTAGAACTTGTAAAATATGAAGTCTGACACTAGGCATGGAAATTGCTTTTGAAAAATTAAGATTAAAACATTTATGGAGATTCAGTGAAGCAAACCATTTTCATGAAAATATATTGATTTGCATTAAAGTGCTATTGCGAAGACAACTGTGAATGACTTTCTAATTAAAACTAATTGGTGGAGGAAAGCTGTAAGACGTTTGCCAGTTACACTGCAGTCAGTTAGCCTAAGGTTCCAGAACTTTAAATGAGAACCTCAACTAATGGCTACAAAGAATCAGTATTTCTTTTACTTTTTTTTTTTTTTTTTTTTTTTTAAGAATCAATTAATACTTAATTTCACATATGTAATTAACTAAGAAGCAAAAGTATTCCAAGATAAGATTTTACTCGAGACATATCTCAAAATTATTACACATTCTATAGCATGTGATGTCCATAAATCTAATTTTGCAAGATTATCTGAAAAACTTTGTTTTGCTCCTCATTCCCATAACCAGTATAGAATTATTGTTTCCTTGAGTTTTTTTATCTCAAAAAACTTTATGGTTTCAGCACTATTATTTCCGGTCAGGCATAGCTGTATTTCTTTATAGCATTATGGTTAGTGGAATAAAAATTACTATTTTTGTTTTTAACAATTCTTGCATGCAATATTTAAGAGACATACAATGGGGTCAAGAATAATTTCTTGTGCTTATGTAGAGTAGATAATTCTGTAGATTCAGAGAACAAGATGAAATACAATTTCAGTCATTACCTTCACTTTTTCTTTACTTTGGGAACATGTGTATCTACTCCATTTAGCTTTTTTATTTGTACTCTATTAAAAAAAAGTTGTGATCATTAGCATTCTAGAACTGGCTACTCAAATAGTCACCTATAATTCCCTATTCACTTAACTGATACATTATTAAAATACTCTGGCACTATAGTGCTCAATATCCAGAAAGAAACTCAGTATTTCTAAACATTTGAAAAAGTATAGAAAGAAATCATAATATTTCACTCTTCAAAAGCTGTTAGAGTCCTCTCAAATGTTGTCAAGGCTTCCCCTGCCCCAAGTTTTCTCGCAATAAGTGGTTTTCATATATCAGAGAGGTTAATTTTCTAACAATTCCGCTATTTATATGATAAATGATTCAAGTAAATATTTAAGACAATAAGCTAAGGAAAATTCACTTCAACTGTTTTATATTTTACATTTTCATGGAGAAAAATAATTTTTCTTTAGAAAGCATAAAACCCCAAACTTTGAAAGCTACATTCACTAATCTACTATTCTGCCTTTATATCAGAAAATGCTTAAGTTATTTATTTTCTATAGCTTTCAAATAATGGTAAATTTTTACAAGGAAACAATGACACAATATGCCAGAGTAAATTGAGTACTATTATTTCCTATCACAACAAACAAGCTTTTGCAATGACACATTGGAAGAGGATTCACAGACCCAGAATTTGAGATACGTCACTTGCAACTCTTAAAGAAAGCACCCCGAAAAACTTTAAAGAAAGGGCCTTGAAGTTCTCTTGAAAGCATGGGAACTTTTTAAAAACAATGATCTCCCCATCTGTTTTTTTAAAGAGGGCTCTCTCTCAAATCATCTGCATAAGACAGGATGAGTTTGTTAACAAACTCCCCCTTGTCCTACTTAATGTTTGCTCTCATCAGAGTCCATACTATTTCCCTGGGGTCTGAAGGAAAAAATAAGGCTTTCTGTCACCTCGGAGACTAAGCATCTGCTCTTTGCTCTGCTTATCACTTTCCTAACCCTTTCTTCACATTACAAGGTCTTTGCTGTTCCTATACGACACTCTCCAGGGTATCTTCCCTGCACCGTATCACTTTTTTCCAGTCATGTAAGTGTGTAGAAGAAATAATAACTTCTCTCTTACGTAGATTCTCTCTGATAGAGAGTGTTGTAGTCAAGGCAGGCAATAAGACACCCTCTCCCCACTCTCAACTGGTCATCCACAACCTTTAGCACAAAACAATAAATCTAATAGATGTGAGCTGCCTCACGCCTAAATACAATAACATGATGCCTATGAAAATATCATGCACTATGAAGTTTAACTTCTAGGATTAAGTTTTCACTGGGTCAGAAGTCTAATCATGTACAGGAAAAATACTGTATTTGTATAACTGAATAGATGTGATTATTTGTCTTTCTAGCAAAAAGAATGTGTGACTATCCTTCATGCTTGCAGATGTACCTGTATTTTTATCAGAGCCTGCTTATTAATTACAACTGACTTCCTTATTGATCTACCATCTTTTGTTGGTGATTTTCCCATTACACGTAATTCAGATTTTAGACCTGAGCATTAAAAACAATAGTAAGTTGTATAATATACCTAGCATCTTAGAAATGTGTACAGATCTTTCTGAACTTTCTTATTCCTCCCCACTGACAGATGAAGGTTAACCTGACTAGCTTGGACCTGGAAAACTACATTTTACATGTCTAAATACAAAGAAAAATAAAACCAGCCACAGAGCTATCTTCATAAGTGTAAAACGGGTAGAACTACCTGAGCTGTCGTGGTAAGAAAAACACAGCTAAACCTGTGAATTACGACATGGTATTAGTTACAGAAAAGAATAAATAAAATAAGGACATAAGGGCTGGATAATCAAAGCAGGTTCATTGAAACCTGCTCTATTACTTCAATAATAATTTCAGTATAGACCTTAAGAGACCATTATTTTCCAGAAATTATATGTAATCTATTCTTTATGTAAGTTCAATTTCATGAGACAGATGTTTTTAATTTTGTTGAACTATGAAGAATCAAATGGCTATGATATGATTTAGTTTCTGAATAATCAGCATATTTTTGCTTCATTGATTCTGATTAATTTTTAATATTAATGCCATACCTGTTCTGTTGAGTGTAACTGGAAAAATTTAAAGTATTGACAGATAAAATTCTTTATGTCTTCAACTTTCTGTCTTAATCTACTTCACAGATGAATAAAAGGAGGGATAATTCTTGATCAAAAAAAAATTCCCTTGATATTGTTCCCCTGTAGAACAACGATAATTACCAAGCTTCCCTAAAGCTAAACAAAAAGGAACAGTGATTTAAAAGTATTCTGAGGACTTGCAGATACTTTTAACTATTATTACCTGTATGTGAACACACATCTAATTAAGGCATGTACTGCTCTGACTCAGGAGACAGTGCATTCATCATAGCAGGCCAATTGTCACAGCTACATTGAAGTTGAGAGATATCACCACTCCTACGGTTTCAAAAGATGCACTTATGAAATAAAGTTCCATACAAGTAGAGAACCATTTCAAACCAAAAACTAAAAAGATATTTTTACTTACAGAAGATATAAAGGATTCACAAGATCATAATTCAGATATTCTAAAACTGCCTTACCATGGTGTAGTTGTGAGCCACCTTCATAAGCTCCGTGCATCCTTGTGCATCAGCAAATGCTCGTATTCCCAAACAGTTGGATGGGTGCAAAAGCTTCATTAGAAAATGGCAGCAAACCTCTACTACTTGTGGGAGCTGGAGGAGGCAGGCAGCTGCTAGAAGATTTTCAATAGTGTCTTCTTTCAATTCCAGGCAGCCTAAAAAAAGGGTTGATAACACATGCAAACTTATTTACTTGGTATTTACAAAACATGTAAGATCAAAAGATCTTTTATAAATAATATTAGCTCTATAAAAATAACTCTACAGAAAAAGTGAAGAGGAGGATTAGTCGCTCTGACTGGGTACCTCAGTGACCTGAACATTACAGTGTTAGAAACATTCATTTTAAAACTACTATTATTTTAACTATACCATAGGGATACAAAGAGAGACTATAAAGTATGGAAAGAAAGAGAAGACTTAGGAATACTGGTTTTATTTCTATAATGAGACTAAAATCTGAGTAAGTATCTGGATATCAACTGGGCTGTGATTTTATTTTTTTTTTTTTTTAATTGAAATTGGTGATAAAACTTGAATTATCTTCAGTGGTACAGAGCAAAACTCACAGAAATTTACCTCCCTGCAAAGAATGCAATAACATTGTCTAACACAGTATGAACAAAGCCATAAAAGTATCTTCAAAGTAGGGCTTAAAATCTTTAAACTTTGTGTTGCTTATTTGTAATGTGATTTCGGTATTCATTTTACCTGAGAAACATATGGCAGGCCTCTCATAGCATAAAGTTCTAAAAGACTTCATATTACCTAAAAGAACATATATATGGACACATAATATTTATCTTCCATTAATTCTTATGTTGTACTTAATTTTGTAATTTCATAAGCCATTATCTTTATCTTGCAGACTGATACACTTCTTAATAAATGTAAAATAGAATGAAATAAATTTTAAAAATAATTTTAGTGAGAAATAAGTGTCATTGTTGTCATGATACTCCCCCATCATATTTTTTTTTTTTTTATATTAGTATCTCTTATAAATCTCTTACATGAATAACCTAAGAAACTATAAATTAGAGATCACAAGCATGTCTTGGAGAACCAAAAAAAGGAATAGGAAATTAAAATGTGCAAATATAAATTTTCAGAAATTAAGACTTCTGATTTTATTTTGCTGTGCTTGGAAAAATCACTTCAAACTGTAAGAGGATAAAGTGTATGTTGATCTTTTGGTTCAAAGTAATATAGTTCAACTGTTAGATAAACACTCTTCACCATTCAAATTCTGTATTTGTTGTCACATAAGGATAAATCTACAAATCTTAATAGTTCTATCACATGACACTGAGGAGTTCTAAAATCCTCAACTTCACAACAGAATGATATTGAAAAGGAAAGCTGCTTTATATTTCAATACCAAACCCAAAATACAATAACCATAACACTGAAGATCTGACCTTTTCTCCTTCTTTCTCCATATCTGGAGTTTTTAATCTAAGATGAAAAATTGGGAAGTTGTATTTTACTAGATTTAGTTATAATACAACCTTTAGCAAAGGTTAGAGCATCAGATCAAGTACATAGCCTAACTTCTCTGCTTATTTTTATGCTTCTATTAATGTCATATGAGTTTCTCTTTATGTTATCTGACTTGTTCTTACCATTTCTGTCCACCACACGTTTATGCAGTTGGTCAGAAGGCACACTCAACAGTTGATTTTTGTTGACCCATCTATTTATCAATGTCACTTCCACATTTGCTGCACGCTTCCATGGCTGGCTCAACCCACTATTCATTTTCTAGAATATAGTTCCACTTTGTTATGTGGATAAGATAGCTGTTTCATGTAAAAAAGATAGTTGTTTTCAGGGTAAAACTGATCATCCCAATACCAGAAAGAATCAAAATAAAAATGTGCAAAACAGCTGTGAAAAGTAGATGGACAGAGAAACGTGCTGATGGAAACAAAATTAGAAAACTGGACTTTTACATCTCCTTTTCTTATATGTTATTTATTTTTCAATGAGCTCAAAGAAGTCTCTGGCCCTACAAAGCTGATCCAGACAACATTTGCAGAATGACATAAGGACTGAAAGAATTAGCATCCTTGATGAAGAAAGGTAACAGTGTCACAGTTTGACTTTTCATCACTAAATGTAGCCTTAGGAGAAGAATCCAAAGGAAACAGTTGAAGCTTCATCAATCTATTTATTATCAGACCAAAGATATTTTCTGTTAAGTTTAAGGAAAACTAGTACTAGTAGGGTACTAGTTTGGAACTAGTAGAATTAAAATAAGTTTAAGTCAATAAAAATTGTTATTTTTCATAAATTATATATTTCTTTATATAACTGACATAACCATTTCGAAGGAGATCTTTCACATTTTTATGGAAGAGTGTGAGTGAGTTTCTGACTTACATATTAGTCAAGAGAGTAAACATACAATGGTTTCTGGAATATCTGCAGATATGATATGTTATGGCTTGACCTATTTTTAAGTAAATTCAGAAACACCAATTTACTACTTAATATATCTAGGATAAGAGCTAGAAAATTACACTCAGCTTGAGTTAAAAAATAATTTACTGTGCTTCTTCCTTTGATTACTGTCTTATCCTGCCTTTTTTTTTTTTTTTTTTTTTTTCTTTTTCTGCACAAACACGGTAAGAAGTAAGATAGGGCTCTCCAGGATCCTAATTTTAGAAAACATTAGCTTCAGCAATAGGAAAGTATCTAATCCATCTAAGTGCTTTCCAAGTCTTACTTATCTTCATTTTTAAACATCAAGACACCTTCATAAACTTGGTCACAATGGCTGTATTAGTTTTTTCAGAAGGGTGCTATGACACTTTTATGCAAATTCCTCTGGGATATCAAGTGTTTGGCATGGTCAGTTTAAAAAAAAAAAATTGCTAAGAGGCTTAGTATATACAATGTCAACTCTTCAGACAGTTTCATATTTACAATTAGCAGACCCAAGCATCTATTTAAAAATGTTTAATAGGATATTCAAGGGGGCATTAATATTACTTCTTCTTCAATTCACCTCCCCCTCACATTTTTATGCAATAAGGAGCTTGCATATGCAAGTACTTTATGCAGTAAGTACTTCAGTCTGAGCAAAACTAATTAACCAAAGCTTAAAATCTCATTTTGTATTACATTAATTAGGATGAAAAAAAAATAGGAGAAAAAACAACCGAAAGAACTTTAATGGATTCTAATTGTTATTCTAAATTATAATTCTATTTGTGACAAATTTTATGTGAATTGCTTATGCAGAAATTAAAATGCCTGTCTTTAGGATGCATCCTTATAATGAATACATAAATTTTATTACCTCATTACCAAATGTGAAGCAGAGATAATATATATAAATTCCCTGATATTTTCATTCTTTTTCTAAATCCAAGTTAAGGGACAGTTTGGGGATTTTTTCTTTTTTTTTTTTTTTTAATCTTACCATTTGCTTTTATACTTTCTTTTACTCCTTAGGCTATACTGTTACAACTAATTTTGTATATAGGGAATCACTACATTTCTGATCACCTTTGCATGATGTTAATAAGGTCAGTGTGTGTCACAGGAATCAGCTTTCCACAGCTATTGACCAGTAGATATCAATACAAATATGGTGAGAACATTCAGTAGGTACTTCTCACTTGTACTGTGCATAAGCAAAATATTTTAACCAAGGTCTGTAACACATGAAATATCATTTTATCTCATGTGCATAGTAATTTTTTTTCTCTCTTCTAATTACACATTTATGCATTCATAGCAAGATTCTTCACCTTTCTTAAGAGAGCTGTGAGTAAGGGTGCAACAGTGAAGTCATGGGAACTGTCAAGCAATTACAAAGTCAGGCTAGAACTAATTCCTTTTAATCAGGTATTTATCTTTTTAATCTTTCTTTTTCATTTGTCTTGATCAGTTGTGTTGCAGTTTCGAAGAGTTTCTGAATGGAATTATTTCCATAGGCTAACCTGTCATAGGAACACAGTTTCCCTATTAGGTCTCCATTTTAAAAAATAAAATCAGTGAACGGTGTCAAGATAATCTTTATTCAGAATTTGCGTAGTAGATGAATTGCTTACAATTATGGTTACAAGAAGAAATTGCTTTTTTGAAACAGCATCAAAGTCCAGTGAAGAGCAGAAAAGGCTTATTAAAAAGTTGCTATGCTTCATATTGGTATAATAGACCTTTTTAGCATTATCATTAATCATAACAAGTTTTAGGAATCTACCAGGTAGCCACCTGAGGTAATCATCTGAGATCTCCTTTTATAGTAAACAGAGAGAAATATGAGGTTTTAGAGCAGTTTTCATCTGCCCTGGTTTAGTCATCTACTTCAGAAAGAGATTAATCACTCCCTAAGAGTGGCTATTTATTTAACTATAAAAGGAGCACCTTCATTTGACTCACTGAGACACTTTTGATACTTATATTTGCTGATAAGAATTCAGTTCATCTGCTCCCAAACATACAATGCTGGAATCACTGGAATCATCAAGTGTCAGGTGATAAATTATCTGGAGATGCTCTTTGGAGCAAATTCAGATGATCATTCTCTCTTACTGTCAACTCCTGATAATGACGTAATGTGTAGTAAGCACCTTACACCCTTACATGAATAGCAGCCAATGAAGAACGCAATAAAAAGTATTTTCCCAGTAGCAGAACATCTTTTAGACTCCCAACTGATTTCTGAAGTGAATGTTAAGGTTTTGATTTTGATCTATGCCTTAAAATATAAACTCTACATTGTATCATCTCCCACACTTTCCATAAAGGTGAAGTTGTTTTCTATTCATTTTGAAGAGGTTTCTCCTGATCAAACTTTTCCTTATTTTCTATTATTTGCTGCAGACCATGATCATCAGCTGCAAGTGAGAAAGACAGGCACCCTATGGCTGTGATTACTTCCTCACAGTTTGGCATTTAGCATCAGTGAAAATTCAAACAGGCAGCTCATTTTTTTCATGCAATTTAAATCAGGGAAGAAATTTAGGATTTGCCCATTCTCTATTATCAAACTATTCATCCTACATACTAGCAGCCAAAACCTAAACTAAATACAAGTCCCAAAAGTATGGCGCAAAGATGTGTTTACTTGAGGGTGCTGATGAATCACTTGGGTTTTTTGGCAGACATTTTGGTATTAGTCACCATATATACAAGATAA